GGTGGCAGCAGCAATGGAGGCTTTGCCCCACAACCCAGTGAGCCCACCTGAGAGAGGAGCGTAAACAGTCTCACCAACCCACAATACAGGGGAGCCCAATGCTGGCCCTGGGCAGTGAACTCCCTACTGCAGGCAAGCGGACACGGGACTGTCTGCCCAAGCCTGAGTCAGTGACCCTCTGAGCTGCGAGTGACTGAGTCTGTATCATCCACACACAGCCAGGATCTGAAGGGGTCTCTAGAGAGGATGAACATCTGTCCTGAAGGTATAGCAGGCACAACTGTGAGAATGCACTGGTGTTGAAAGTGTGGGCAAGTACTGGCAGGTTGGCCACAGTTGCGCCATCGTCATGCATTGTTGCTGATATAATGGTAACAACTGCAGTGTGGGAGCAAAGCTGAACTGGGAACAATGAACTTCAACTTGCAAACAATGGTGAGAAAAGTATCTTAGGCTATTCATCAGAGCCTGGGAGGGCGTGTTTTGTACGGTCTGGAGAATGATGTAACATAGTCATATTTAAGGTTTAGAATGAGTGAGCAAGCCAAGTAAAAGAATAGAGATAAGTGACACACAGCAGACAGACAGTCATACAGATGTAGATAGATGGATAGATAGATAACAGATGACACATGATTGATAAATAGATGATAGATGGACAGATGACTGACAATAGATAGATAATAGATGATAGAGAGATGATAGGTGGACAGATAGATATAAATAGATGGATAACAGATAAGTAGGTAGATGGATGGCAAAGCACCATCAAATTGGGCTTGCTAAGGAATGTTCAGCAGGAACCTCCTGGGGAGCCCTGTTGAGGCCGTAGCTGGAGTTCTGGTCTGGGAGTCTGAGCAGAGCACCCCTCCAGTCAGACTGCCAAGTGAGAGAAGCAGCAGCAGCAGCCACAGGTGACATCAGTAAGCCAGGGCTCACAACACCCAGAGGAAACCAGCTGCAGAAGCTGAAGCCGTGGACTGTTCCCTCGAGCTTTCTCTCCGTGGCTGATCTTGAGGCTTGTCCTCCCCACTCTAGGCATTTTCACGCCATGGGATAAACGTCATGGAAACCTTCCATCTGTTCTCAAGGACCCTTTTTCTCTGCTTCTCTCTCTGACACAGAATTTAGGGTCCACCTCATCCCTCGGAAGACACTTAAAGACAATCGTGCTGGGGTTGGATATGGGGGAGGAGTGCAGCCCTACCCCTACAGCCAGATTCTCAGTGAGCTCAAAAAGCCTTCACCAGTATAAGGTATATCACAAGAAAGTGTAGTAGGGCATCACACAGACAGAGTGGTGTCACATAGATGGGGAGGGGCATCACATAGACAGAGTGGTGTCACATGGACAGGGTGGCATCACATAGACGGGGGGCATCATATGGGCACAGTGACACTAGAAGGAAGCCTGATTGGCAGGAAGTAGGACAATGAGCTCTGAGATATGAAGAATGTCCACATGAGCAAATCCACCACTGTCATCTGGAATGATCAGGCTTTTCTACTGTCTCTGTGCAGTGTAGTTCTGAGCCTCAGCTTCTAGCAGAACTTTGAGGCTGGGCCAAGTGTGGAGGGGATGCTCCAAAGGAAGAGGGCTGTGGAGGGGATGCTGGGGAGGAAGAGGGCTGTGGGGGGGGGGATGCTGGGGAGGAAGAGGGTTGTGAAGGGGACTCTAGTGCATAAGAGGGGTGTGGTTCCACTCACATGTGCCAGAATCTGGGAACTGAGGTGGAGACTGAGGAGGAAGCTCCAGTCTCTTCCTTAGTGAGGCAAGGAAGTGCTTCCCCTGGCCTGGGGGTTCATGTTTCTCTCTAGAAAATTCTTCTTGCAGATAGAGAGAAGGAAGCAGCTCTGCCCTCAGAGAGGGAAGTAGGAGAGCTAAAGGCTGGGGGCCCAGGTCCAGTCTGATCAGTCCTCTTTGCTAGAGGGAGCCCACAGAAACCATTTCTTCTCGGCCTGCATAGTGGAGGCCTCTTGGCCAAAGCCGGTCCATCTGGGCAACTCCAGAACACTCACGGATAACTGCTATGCTCTGAGCTGTTTCCTCCCTCCTCCCTTCTGCTCCTCTTCCTTTTCTCCCTCTCTTTCTCTCCCATCTTTTCCCCTAGTTTTTAAGACAGTTCCAGAGGTCTGATGTGAAAAGGGGTTTCACTGAATGAACACCCCAGGGGTATAGAGTGCATTTTTCTGAAAGGACAGAACCTCTCTCCCCCACTCCCACCCTTCCTTCTCTAGTGGAAGAGGCTGCCCCACCTCCTGGGCCATGGCCCTTTTCTTCTCCAGGCCAGTACTGTGTGGTGACACCTCCTTCCTGTGCTGTCACTCTGCCTGAACTCTGACCCCCTCTTATGAGCCCTCTGGAGTGTGGACAAGCCAGGCTCCTCTGTTCCTGTTGCTCAGTTTAACTGTCAGTGTGGCACAAACTAGAACCGCCAAGGGAGAGAATGTCAGGAGGAATCATCCAGATCAGGCTGGCCAGTGGGCATGTCTGTCGTGGATTGGCTTGATTGCGTAGATCGGGGTTGAAAGACCCCAAATATGGTCAGCATCACTCCCTGGCCTGGGCCCTGGACTGAATGGAAAGGAGTCAGCTGGGCACTGGCTTGTGTGTGCCTGCTCACTGCTTTTTGCTCCTGACTGTGGAAGTGATGTGACCAGCCTTCCAGAGCTCCCATCCCGTGACTTCCCCACAGTGGCGGACTGTGACCTCACATTGTGTGTCATATGAACCCTTCCTCTTTAGGCTGATTTACAGTGTATCTATCATAGCTGTGGGAAACAGAAGTAAGACAGCATCGTTCACTCAGTTGCATGTACAGTCTCCATTTCAAACTGGCAATGACATGCTCACAGGCTCTGAGGAATGATGTGAACATCTCTGGGGGCTGTTTTCCTGCTCTCCCCAGTGTAGCTCAGCTCTAGTGTCTGTTGGTTGAGAAATGATCATCCTGTGAATGTGCTGGACAGAGCATAGCCCTGTGGAATTTGGATGAATCTCCAGGGTTACCCAGTAAGTTGATGCCATGGGGTCAGTTCTACAATGGTCCGCCTCCCATGATGCAATGCAAGGGCTGACATCACGTGATTGCTCTCTGGCTAGAGCAAACCAGATAGGTCCCACCTACGAGGGGCGGGCCCCCTGCCTTCAGCCTGTCACACATGTTACAAGTGAAGCTCAGCTCTGCTCTGAGAGACACAGTCTCTTCATCAATCCCAAATGCAGCTAGAGGGTAAGAATACTCTGGTTAAATTTTAATGAGGACAAGCATAAAACTTCCAACTAACAGAGCCCAAAGTGAGCATTCCAGGCACCAACAGGCCCTGACTTCTGCCTCTCAAACAAAACCCACCTCCCTCACCCCGAATCCATTCCCCAAACTTCCCAAACCTAATTGGAATGAAGGCTGCTCTGGCTAGTGAGCCAGGAGACATGCAGGGTGAGGTGCAGATGTCCCCTGCTTACTGGACTTGTAGGCCCAAGCATTTGTTTATCAGGAGGTCACTCTTAATGGTTTTAATTTTAAATTTTTCATGCTTTTCTTCATGAAAAATTTAAGAACTTTGTATTAGAGGTCACATTAACGACATTCTGAAGATTAAGCGCTGACCCAGCCCTGCCTGGAGGACCCGGCTGTGTAGTGCTGCCTCCTGGAGAGTCCGGTTTTCTCCTGCTGAGAGAACCTGGAAAGGAGCAGACTGTCCCGTACCTGCCCTGCTGAGCATAGTCTTCCTGCTTCTACTTCTTCAAAAATTTCTGTCCTGAGCTGCCGCAGGACCCAGAGGCTGGGCGTGTCCCAGCCCAGAGGCTTGCTGGACTGACACGGAGGAGTCAGATGGAACGTCTGAGTCTCAAGCCTGGACAACGTGAAGGCAGGTGACTCTGGATGCCACCCAGTATGGGCAGTGGTGCTCTGGGCTGTGGACTTGCCTTGAATAACCTTTGGGGATCAGAAGAGAAAGAGAGAGAGGGAGAGGGAGAGAGAGAGAGAGAGAGAGAGAGAGAGAGAGAGAGAGAGAGAGAGAGAGAGAGAGAGAGAGGTGCTGGTGGGACTGACTGGGGGTAAGGGAAGAGGAAGTGGAATTAGAAGTGAGAGCAGAGGTGAAGGCAGGGTGGGGTCAGAGGAGATGGGGTAGAGGAGGGTCAGAGAGGTGAGGACAGAGGAGGTGGACCAGAGGAGGCAGGGTCAGAGAAGGTGATAATGAAGAGTTTGGACATATGAATAGACAAGACCTGAGGAACCCATCCAGGTGTACATACCTGTGAAGAATCCAGGGAGAGCTCTGGGCAGCAGGACACGGTCCTGGTCAACATCTTTTAGGTCCTCCTGAAGATGCTGTGCAAAGAGAAATTGCCTGTGGTTCCTATGAAGATGGAGAATCCACAGGGCACCAAGGATCATGATCAGAACTGCCATGGCTATTCATTAGAGAAGGGAGTCCCCCGAACGGATTAGTGGCTGGTGGGATTCATTGAACACCATCTGTGTCTGCAGGTTCCTTACTCCCCTCCCCTGACCACCCTGGGGTGCTAATGGGAAGCTGACTGAGGAGAACACCTCACCTCACTGAATGTAGGATGTTCAATTTGGTTCATTTTGCTGCTGGGTCAGGACCTTAGAAAGTAGTCTAATTCTTTCTTGGCATTGCAGCCAAGTTCAGAGAATGCCCTGTTATTTATACAAATTCCCCAGGGAGGAAAGATCTGCAGGAATGGTGAAAATTACTTGCACCAAACCCCAGAGTTCCTGGCTAATCCAAGTCCTGAAGCAAGCGGAGAGCCCTGAGTGGGAAGATGGACTTAGAGACTGAGGTGGACATGATTTATTCATCTCAAGACTTTGAGGAAGCGCACAGCTGAGATTAAAGAGACAAGACCCACACATGCTTCAAAGCGGGAAATGTCTGGAGCCCAGGATGCGAAACACTAAACACAACAACACACACCACACGTGTCCACTCCGTGGTCATCTGGGAAGAGGCAACTGCAGATGACAAAAGCGACAGATGCCACGTGAGGCTCTGTGGGCGGGAACATCAGCTGTGCACACCTGTGAAATGTGGCACACCAGCCCCCATGCATGGGGAGTGAACAGGAAACACCTGTGTGCCACACCAGCACAAAGAATCCCACATGCTTGCGGTAAAGTTAAGGAGATACTATTGAGTGGGTATGAGCTGTCCATTGTTCGCTGCTCCCTCCTTCCACTGAGTCACCTCAGGGCTTTGCCTGGCCCCTCTCCTCTTCAGAGGCAAGCCACAAGAGCACGCACATGGGATCCTTCATCTGGTCTCAGACTTCACTGGCACTGGCTTGAAAATTCTTCATTTCCACTCTTCATAAAGCCCCTGAAATTACAGTTAGCCTTGCACAGGCCTCCTCAGGACAACCCAGTGTCACTCACAGACACCTGGGATGTCACTCTCCAGGTGGAATTGTGTCCTCCCCCATTCAGATGTCATTGTTCTAATCTCCTATCAGGCATGTGGGCACCAGGCCATCAAGAGGTCAGTAGACAAGCCAGGGTCATGATGGAGAGTAGAATGGGTCTTGTGCCTATGAGCTTTGTCAACTTGACACAACCTAGAATTATCCAGAAGGAGAGGCTCAGCCAATGAGCGGCTGGTTAGCTCAAGCTGGCAGCCTGCAGGTGTGTCTGTGGGGGATTGTCTTATTTACATAGTAATCGATGTGGGAAGACCCAGCCCACTGTGAGTGGCACTATTCCTTAGGAGTAGATCCTTGATTGGATAACCTTGCATCTGCAGAGGGAGCCCTGCCAGGGGCCCTGCTGATTTCTCTCCCTTGGTTCTGGCATCTGGAGCTGTACAGTAATATACCTGTGTTGTCCAGATCTGGATCTGCGGTGCTGTGCCTTGGCAGCTCCAGGAACCTCAGGCATTGCCTTTCATTCTTGATGGACATCGGCCCTCCTCTCAGCCCTCGGGGCTCCGGCTGCAGCTAAAGGTGAGAGCTGAGCATCTAAGACAGTGATGAGGCTCTGCCCCACTCCTGCCTGGTATCCATGAAAGCTTGATGCCTGTAATAAGAGATACCACTACCATGAGGTCTACGGTAGCCTGGTTCTGACTTCTGAGTCTAAGAGGAGGGAGAGCACCATGATAGAGGAAAGCCACCCACATCATGACAATGAGGAAGCACAGAAGGAGACAGGGAAGGGCTCCCCCAGGACACACTTTTGGTGACCTGCTTACTCCAGCCAGTCCCCACCTCCAGAACTTTCCAATGCTTTTTAATAATGTCATCGGCTTACAAATCTGATTAGGTTGAAGCACATATAACCCAGCAGTACCTGGACCCGGGAGCTTCAGGCCAAGCTTTTCACATGCTGTTTTTTTCAAGAGGGCATTTCCTACTGAAACCATCACACTAACACAGTTCTGTCTATAATTGAGCTGAAAACTCATATTAAACCATATTAAAGAAATATCTAAACTCACACAAGCATGCATTTATTATCCCAATCCCTGACTTTTCTATCCACTGACTTCACAGACAACGTCAGAAAGAGACAAGGCCCTTTACTGTATCTGCTCTGAGTAATTCTGGATTGCATATGGCAGCGTGCTACGCCAACGGCATAGCCTCTCTCTTTCAAGGGAAGGTAAGCACATTTTGTGGGGAGCAGGCTTATTTACCCATCTACTAGAATGACTAAAAAACAACACAGTGTTAATTGTCTGCAGGGATGCAAACAGTAGGGCCACATTGCTAGTGGGGCATGCAAGATGCATGGCTTCACTGCAGGGCCACACTGCAGGGCCACTCGGCAGGGCCACACTGCAGGGCCACTCTGCAGGGCCACGCTGCAGGGCCACTCTCCAGGGCCACTCGGCAGGGCCACGCTGCAGGGCCATTTGGCAGGGCCACACTGCAGGGCCACTCTGCAGGGCCACACTGCAGGGTCACTCTGCAGGGCCACGCTGCAGGGCCACACTGCAGGGCCACTCTGCAGGGTCACTCTGCAGGGCCACGCTGCAGGGCCACACTGCAGGGCCACTCTGCAGGGCCACACTGCAGGGCCACTCTGCAGGGCCACACTGCAGGACCACTCGGCAGGGACACACTGCAGGGCCACTCTGCAGGGACACACTGCAGGGCCACACTGCAGGGCCACTCTGCAGGGCCACGCTGCAGGGCCGCGCTGCAGGGCCATGCTGCAGGGCAGTTGGACAGTCCCTTACAAAGCTGAATGCCACCTTCTGAGATCCAGTAGCTGTGCTCCAAGGTGTTCTCAGCACTGATGTGAAAATGCAGTCCGTGTGACACCTAGTCATGGCAGGTAGTGTCTTGTAAGTGCTCTTTCCGGCTGATAGACAAGTGTCCCAATACGGGAGAGAGAAGTGACTTGCTGGGCTTCACCTCTGGCACCGGACACACTGAAAACATAAATACTCTTCCCCAGGTAAGTTTGGGGTGTTTGGATTCTGGCCCCAGAGCCACTGATGCTCCCTCTGGTGGCAATCTTTTTTCTTTCTTCCCTTCTTTTTTTTCTTTTTTTGTTTGTTTGCTTGGGTTTTTTTTGTTTTGTTTTTACAGACAGGCCTTCTTTGTGTTGTTCTGGCTGTCCTAGAACTCGCTCTGTAGACCAGGCTGGCCTGGAGCTCAGAGAACCACCTGCCTCCGTTTTCCAAGTCCTGAGATTAAAGGCGTGCGCCACCATACCTGGGTTGGTGGCAATTTCCTCCAGGCCTCCTTTTCCACCATGTTGGCAAAGTGCTAGAACATCGTTTTGACATCCCATGGCTTCCTGTGACACTCCTGCCCAGCCACCATCTCTCTAGCACTTCTCAAGCTTTAAAGATTAGTCCAGAGTTATTTTTGTCGTGAGGGATCTCATCCAGGATTAGAGGCTCAGGCTAGAATTTTCTAGAATATATGGTCTCTCTTTTTTTGGCCTCTCCTCTATAACTCATTCAAGATTTTGTTCCTAGTTCCCTGAAATCATGTTCTGTGATTAATGTGGTTCAGGCACTCTGCCAGGCCAGAGAGGCAAGTCGTACCAGGGAATGTGCTATCTCTAGGATGAGCTGCTGGAAGAATACACGGACATGGGCCTGGGGCAATGGCTTGGTAGGGGAAGTTGTTGTGTGATATTTTGTTTGTGTTCTGACAAATAAAGTTGACCTGGAGATCAGAGGGCAGAGCTAGCCACTAGTTAACCATGGAGGCCAGGCAGTGGTGGCACACACATTTAATCCCAGCGCTTGGGAGGAGGAAGTAGGAAAATCAGGAGTTCGAGGCCATCCTGAGCTACATGAGATTGATCCAGTCTAAAAGGGAAATAGAGCCAGGCAGTGGTGGTGCATGCCTTTGATCCCAGCACATGGGAGGCTCACACCTTTAATTCCAGCTCTTAGGAAGTGGAGACAGAAATCTAAGGCAGTTGGAGACAGGATCTCCCTGCCCCATTCAGTCTGAGGATTCGTAGAGACAGGATGCCCTATTCCGTCTGAGATAGAAGTAAGAAGTCCGGTGGCTACTGCTCTGCTTCTCTGATCTTTCAGCTCTCACCCTCAGCCTCTGACTCTGGGTTTTATTGTTAAGACTAATTAGGATCGCACTTCATGAAGTACTTGCTGAGTCAGCACAGGGACTTGACTTTGAACCCCAGCACCCAGATCAAAAGCCAGGCATGGTTCCCTGTTTGTAATCCCAGTGCTAGCAGGACAGAGGCAGGCAGATCCCTGGGGCTCATGGGCCAGCCAGCCTGACTGGATCAGTGAGCCCCAGATCTGTGTACTTTGTTTGTGCTCTAACAAATGAAATTTGCCTGAAGATCGGAGGACAGAGCCAGCCACTGGCTTCTATTGAACATAGAGGCCAGGCAGTGGTAGCACAAACCTTTAATCCCAGCACTTGGGATCTCGTGCCTTTGCTCCCAGTATTTGGGAAGCACACACACCATTAATCCCAGCACTTGGAAGGCTGAGACAGGAAGTGATGGCTGGGTGAAGAGGCATGTAAGGCAGGAGGAGACTGGAACTCAGCCCCTTTCGGCTGAGGACTCAGGGGCATTCTGTCTGAGAATTTGTGGAGTCAGGATCGGCTGAGGAGCTGGAGAGGTGAGAAGTGTCTGTGGCTTGTTCCTTTGTTTCCTCTGATCTTTCAGCATTTACCCCAACATCTGGCTCCGGGTTTTTATTGTAAGACCATTCAGAGTTCGTGCAACACAGATCCCAGTGAGAGACCTGTCACAAAAACAAGGTAGATGGCTCCTGAGGAGTGACACTGAAAGTTAGCCCCTGTCCTACACCCACACGTGTACACACACATAAGAACACCTACATACACACGTGTGTACACCCAGAAGAATGCCTACACACATGTGTATATACACATAAGAACACCTACATACACACGTGTATACACCCAGAATAATGCCTACACACATGTGTATATACACACAAGAACACCTACATACACATGTGTATACACCCAGAAGAATGCCTACACACATGTGTATATACACACAAGAACACCTACATATACATGTGTATACACCCAGAAGAATGCCTACACACATGTGTGTACACACATAAGAACACCTACATACACATGTGTATACACCCAGAAGAATGCCTACACACATGTGTGTACACACATAAGAATACCTACATACACATGTGTATACACCCAGAAGAATGCCTATACACATGTGTATATACACATAAGAATACCTACATACACGTGTACTCTATCACATCACTGCACACACACCTGCACATGCAAAAATAAAACATAGACACTACATGGTCTTGATTAACCACTGGGCTATAGGACATGTCAAAGCCTGTGCATACTGTGCTGTAGAGAAGGGTAAATGGAGAGATGGGCCTCCAAGACGAGTGATTTTTTTTTTTTTTTTTTTTTTTTTTTTTGCTTAGGCACTTGCCCTAACCAGCCTGACTGAGCCGTCTTGGTCTAAAGAATGCTCTTGAGGCTAGTCAGGAACCCCTTACTCCATTTCACTAAAGTAAGCTACTGTATTATGCTATAAGCAATTATAGAATCAATTAACCTAAGTAAGATTATTGTAAAATAAAAAAACAGGAAAAAAAAGTTTGATGTTACTGAATAAAACATAACCTCCTTAGCCTGACAGAGCGTGTAAGAGCTGGTTAAACCAGCCTTTCCTATATCTGCCTTTCCTATCTCTACAAAACAGAAAGATTCATGTTCCCCCTTTCCCAGTCACTCTCATCCCTTTCTACCCATGAGCCATTGCTCTGGAATTCTTGAATTGGCCTGTGCCCTGTCCAGTCTATTCCTCATCTCTCCACCAACCTCACTTCCCCTGGTATTGCCTGGTGCATCCATGTGTCCTTCAGCAGCAGTCAACTGGCGCCCCAGGCTGGGTTTGCTCAGGTTGATAATTTCCTTTTCTGTTGGACTGTGGTCTTATTATAGGACGTGTTTCCATCCCAAGTCACCCCTGAGCTGTCACAAAAGCCCGGACTGTTGTCCTCTACATTGTAGAACACCCTCCAGCCACACCTGACAGACGGAGATGTGGATGCACAACAGGGGATTCATGATTTGGGGTGCACATCTGTAACATTAATTGGTCCGATAAAGAAAAGGGTGGAATAGCTTCTCCCTCCCCACCTTCTCTGTCTGCCATCACAACTGGCAATAGCTACAGAGGTTGAATTCCACCCAGGCTGCTTGCCGATGTGGAGAAGACACAGTTGCCTGAGCCTGGAATCTAAGCTGAGCCTGCAGGTTCATGGGATGGTTTTCGGCTTGGGCTGAGCATTGCTGAAGGATGTAGGAGATTGGTGCACACACAATGCATGGCTGGGTGATGCCTAGTCTCAGATAAGACCTGGTCCTTTGTCATCAACATTTCCCTGAAGTTTGGGACATAATTTTTTCAAGCCATCCATGCCTGTGTGGTGTTCTCACATGCTCAAGATCATGGCTGTTCACATTTGTTTTTACTTCCAGGCCTTGAGACAATCACTGTATGTCTCTGTTCTGTCATTCGGAAAATGGAGGAAATAGAATCAATTGTAA